AGCCCAGGCCTTGCCTCGGGTCACGGAGGGCAACGAAGGCTGGCGTAGCGTTGTTAGCCTGAGCAGGAGCTCTGGTGACCCGGACTGCTGGGTCAATTTGTCTCTCCCAGGTGGGGGTGAGAGTATTTCTATGGTCTTCAATTTGGAGAGGTGATCTTAAGGCAGGATTCCCTCCTGTAAGTATTTTGGTCCCTAACAATTGGAGAAGATCCCTCCCGATGAGGGGGAGTTAGTCGTTCAGGGACTGCGAGAAAGGAGTAAATAAAATAGTATCAGTCCCAGAGGCATCCCAAGGGAGGGGGGGATTCTTAGCGGTGGGCTTTCCTGCCAAACCTAGGAGAGTGCGGGACTGGGAGGAGAGGGGCCTGGAGAAGGCGATAAGGACGGAGCAGGTGGCCTCTGTGTCTGATAAAAAGGTTTTTGTCCTACCTGCCACATCCATGCATACCCTAGGCTCCAGTCCAATGATGGTGACCTCTTGAGGTGGGACCGACTGGGGTGGGCTACTTCAGTCCTCAGTTACCATCTGCAAGGCAGTCTTGGGGGGACCTTTGGCCCCAGGAACAGAGGGCCGCCCTGTGACCTTGCAGTCCTCCAGCAGGGCCCTGGAGGGGGCTTATTATGATTAGGACGCTCCTTTGCCCAGTGCCCCTTCTCTCGGCACACACGACACTCGGTGCCATTTGAAGCAGGCTGTGCAGGGCCTTCAGGGTGTGACGGTGAACGTCCCGCAGGCGGGGCTGAAACGTGGGCGCGCCTCCTTTCCGTCTGTTTCTCCTCCTCCTGAGCCCTGGCCTCCCTCTGCTCGTTGCACTTGTTAAAGACCCCATCGGCTGTGGTCAGCATTTTGTCCAAGGAAACCCCAGGTTCCCTGGAGAAGTTTTTGTAATTTTCTCCTAACGTCAGAAGCTGCTTGAGTTAAAAATTTATCCTTTAATATCACTTGTCCCTCATAAGACTCTAAGTCCAAGCTACTGTGCTTGATGAGAGCTCCTCTCAGCCTTTCTAGGAAAGTGAGAGGGTTTTCATCGGGGCCTGGTTAACAGCAGACACCTTGGAGCAATTAATGGCCTCTTGGTGGCCTGCCTTGAGTCCAGCCTTAACACAAATCAAGAAATGGTTTCGTTCTCACTTTTTTGGGAATTGCTATTATAATCCCATCCAAGGTCCATAGGTGGAACTATTTCTCCTACAGGATATTTGTTGTCAGACAGATGTAAGTCGCAAACTTTCTAGCTTCCTTAATTACTTTCTTGTCAATGTCTGATAGTGTTTGTCCTAGAACTACCACTACATCTTTCCAGGTCAGTTCATATGCCAAAGTAAGGTGCTGGGAAGTGTCTATGTATTTGTCCAGATTGTCCCATGGCCAGCTTTGATTTACCTGAGCTCGACAAGGGAGAAAGGTCTGTGGATTAGCTGGGGGCTGAATCCTCCTGCCATTTCTATTAGGGGCAAGAGCTTAGTTAGAGTTGATTGAGTTGAACATTTATCCTTGGTCGGAGCAGTTTCAGGGGCAGGAAAAGTGGGGGCTGGTGGTTGTGCAGAGGACCCCTGGGTGTGGGGGTAGTGAAGAAGGCTGAGAAAGGGCCTTCTCTGGGGTCTCTGGGGCTGGGATTGGTCCCATGAGCATCTGGGAATTGAAGGATGAATCAGTAAGTGCACCATTCATACGATTAAGTTCATACTTTTTGCATAAATCACTACGGCCCCTCAAATAAAAAATTCTTGGGTATAAGGAATCTCTGACCACTTCCCAAGACGCTTACCAGAGACTAAGTTGTAGAATTCTATGATAGCTTAGGGTCCCATATAGGGGCCAGACCTTCCCATCCCCTGGTCCATATTGCAGCCACGCTGTGTTACCAAAGAAGATCCGTCGGTCTTTCTTTAAGTTTTGAGGATCAAACTGCAGCCAACCAAGTAGAAAGGATACAGCTTAAGGGGGTACCAGCAGAAATGGACTCTTGATTCCCCAACTAGAAAAGGGAAAAACACACTGCCCAGGGAGGGGACGTAGGCAGTGGCAAGACTGCCCAGCAAGGGGATGAAGGCAGTAGCTGGACTGCCCAGCCCCTTTTCTAGGTGGTTGAGAGTCTCAGTCGTTTGTGTCCTTTTGGGAGCTAAAAAGGCTGAGCGGGGAGATGAGGTGTCCAACAGTGACAGCCATCCCCTGGGAGCGAGCTGGGAAGTAGTCTGTTCTGCCCTTAGAGTGAGCGCCCTGCCCCCTGCTCTGTTCAGGGAGGGCAGAGGGTGGAGAGAAAAAAGAAACAGCAGATACCATGCTCAGTCCTCAGGCGGCAGATGAAAACTGACCAGAGTTAGGTGTCGCCTTTTTTCCTCTGCGTTGGAAAGGCAACCAGTAATGTGTCTGAGTAGCGAGTTAATTCACCTATTGTTCCCAGGACCTAGTAGTTCCCCTGGTCTGGAATTTACAGTGTTGCAAAGACTTATTTCCTTATTTTGCTTTCTGAGTTCTATATAGTATAGGAGGGATTGAGATTTTCCCTCTTTGTTCCCTTGCTCCCAAGTAACATGGGCACAGTGGGGCCAAGCCAAATTTGAAGCTGAAGTTGAATGCAGGGTTTGGGTTAGGCAGGTAAAGAATCACCTCCTGCTAGGAAATGGTGATCAAAAGGCATGACCTTAGGGGATTAGATTGCTGCTTGCTGGAAAACAAACAGGCAATTACTTTGTAAACCAGATAGACATGGGAGTGGTAGAGATGTAAACCAGTGGTCAGAGAAAGGGGGAAAAGACTTATTATGAGTGAGGCAAATTCAAACGAAAAAGCCTAGTAAGGAGAACAGGAAAGACCTGGAAAAGCCAGGACTTTCCACCACAGGCTAAAATCTTGCTCTTTTTTCAAGAACTAAACCTAAGTGGGGAAAGCGGTACAGGGATGGGAATGTGATTGCTTTTACAGTGTGTTTCTCCTTACATGGATTTCTGCTTGCAGCCGGTGGGAGACCGAGGGTTCTGTCCCGGTCCACGTCCCAACTTATCCTCTCACAGGTGTCTTTCTTTGCAGAAAGTACCCTGGTGGCTTTTAAATGCTCAACCTGTCCCTGCCAGGTGTGGCAATTTCTCAAGAGGGAGAGAGCAAGACTGTTACTTGGCAAATGTAAAATTGCCCCTCCTAGCAGCTCCTGCAGAGAGTATTCTGATGCAAATTGAGTTGCTAGAAGCCACCTGAGGAAGAGAAAGATGCTCCGAGCTTACAACAGGTCAATGATTTAAACTGACTTTTCTTCTGGCCGGGTTTAGAAGCCAAAGAGGCTATGGAATCCAAGTAGTGGGTCAAAATGTGCTGTTTATGAGTAGGGCTCCCAGAGGCTGTTACCCCTTCAGTTATCCCTAGCTCTCTTAGGTGTCTAAATTTCTCCCCATCGCGGGGAACAGCCAGGGGTGCTCAGAGTGCGGGGTGACCAGCCCTTACTTTAAATATCCCCAGATGAGCAAAAGCTACGTTACAGTGATGGGAGTTCCCTATGAGGCCCCTGCCATGTCTTAGAGATTGATCCCAGACATCTCCACCAGGCCCCCACTCACACAGGGCCTCTGGGGAACTCAGGCTAGAGGGAGAAAGTGCCTCTTTTTTGTCTTCGGAGCCCAGGTGAAATCCAAGCACTCATTTCACATTTCATTATTTCTACCTCCAAACATAGTTACGTTTCAAGCCCATCGCACAGCATCTCCTTTATCCCAAAGGTGAGAAAGGCAAGAAAACCTCACCAGTGAGACCATATTCGCTGCGTTCCAAATGGCTGGAGACAAAGGGCAAGAGCCAAGTCAGGATCCGAGTCTCAGCACCATTTATGTTATGTTAGGGGAGAAACTCGGTTCTTCTTGCTGATGCAGTAAATTACAGATCAGCAAGTCTATTAGCGCGCATGCAGGGTTTACTGGTGATATGTTCTCATGAAGAAAACAGGCCTTGCCGAGGTGGGGAGAAATGCAAGAGCAAGGATGCCAAGGGCAGAGGTGGCAAGAGCTGGGGTGGCAAGAGCATCAGGTCCTCTGTTCTGAGGACTTATCTAGTTGGTGGAATGGGGGTGAAGAGGTTTCATGTTGATTGGTGGGTAAAACTGGTGCCATCTTCCCTGGGGGACGTGACCACCCAAACTTAGGTATGTGTCGGGGGCTGTTAGCATGAATCCTTATCTTGCTCCAGACCACATTTGTTCATCTTGTTGTAAAATAGATATGGACAGGAGGCAGTTAATTGACGTTGGGGCAGCTATCCCAAGGTACTTGTGGGCTTCTTCCTGGAAGCCTTAGGGACTGCCTCGTAAAGCAGACAGTGACCAGCAGTAGGCAATTAACCAAAGCTGTTTTATGGGCACCGTGGGCCCTTTCCCGCCTTTCAGGCCTTGGGATGAGAGCACAGTTTCAAAGGCTTACTTTCCCAGATAGTGGAAACGATACCTAGAATTTCAGAGACCGCCCTCCTCCCATGTTAGCCTGGTGTTTCCTGTGGTGTTGGAACACCTGGTAATGTTACCGGAACAGGCTCAGGACTGCTGAGCTAGTGGGTGAGATATGTCTCCCTCCTCCTCCCTGCCTTGGTTTGCTATCTATCCTACCTAACAGAAGCATGCAGGTCAGGTCTCTTCAACAAGGTCACACTTGTAAATGATAGGCTTTCGACAGGAAACTGTCTTCTAACCTCAGAGTCAGGGTTCTTTCTCTGCGCTGTACCATGTTGCCTCTCCAGTGGAAGAGTTAAAATACAACTGAACAGGCTACTTGTGGAAGTGAGAATAAGGTGGGGATGGCAATCTGCTTCTAAGTCATGTAACTTTCCCCCCCACCCTTCTTGCCACACATGACAGCTAGGGAGGGTAACCACCCAGCACAAAAATTGTTACCCAATTTCCAGAAATAGATACTGCCCCCAAACACTTTGACTTGATGGCAAAATATTTTAATTTCTCATAAAGCTATGTCCCCACCCACACCCCACCCCATAGATTTGACATGGAAAAGAATCTGCACGCGTGTGTCCTGGCTGAGCAGGAGGGTGACGTGTGCATGTACATATATGAATATACATACAGGTTTATTTAAATGATCTACACTTTTGGAGAGTGTTTGAAGCATCTTATCAAAAGAAAACACATTTGAAGCAAGAGTTTAAAAACACTTTTCAGACCCAACCCACATCCAACAGATTGGTTAGTATTGGATACACAGATTTGGTTTCAAAGCTGAAATGCCCCTGGTGTAATAGACCGTCTCATGAAATTCAGTTATTTTATAGTATGCCATAAAAAATAGGGACGGATATCTAAAGACAACTTAAATATTAACTCAACAGGCTACCTGGTGATATAAATAGGAAAAAAAGTGGTCATGAAGTAGGAGTGAAAAACTATGACACCAGCCTATCTTGGACTGCAAAGGATGTTAGAAATCTATCCTAGAATCTAAAACAGGAAAAAGAGTCAAACATTTCACTCCATATAGACTCCATCTGGCCCAAATCATCCCCCAAGGAGTATACCCCCAACACATGAGGTTTACTAACCACCTGCTACAGATGTTACTACGTCACTAATTTACAATGATCACAGAAAATGTGTCATACCAGAGGTTTTGTTATCATATACAATGCATTAGTGGCTGCAGGAGTCTTTCCTCCAAGAGCTATGGTCGGAAGGCAAAGTGACAACATCCACGCCACTGGTCCAAGAAACCAGAGCTAAGAAACACAAGCAGTCAAGCATTCATTTGCACAGTGAGCTCTCTCTGGCATGCTCCCCGCTCTAGTTAGAAGGGCTAGGATGCGGAGAACTGTCCCAGCCAGGTGCTGCAGCCATCTACTCCTGGGCTTCCTTGCGGGTCAACTTGTAGATCTCGGTGGGTCCGTCCACATGGGTGATAGTGGTGGTGAGCTGGAGTTCTTCCCCACTGTGGACCCTCAGATCGCCTGAAACAGGGTTTTTGTTGTTAGATGTGTTCAGGGAGCAAAAAGAAGAAAGCTGGCTCATCTGAGTAACCACCGCCCAATGCCTCTTTCGCACTCTGAGCTGACAGAGAAAACCTGGGCATGAACACCTAAGGGCTCACACAGAACCTTTTCACTCAGACTTTGCAGTGATTTCATCCATTTTTGTCTTCCAGAGAAGAGATATTAATGAGAGATGAGTCAGCTTACTGCTTATATAATTTGTAGTCATTACTAACATTTAATGAGAGCTTACTTGGTGCCTGACGCGACTCTGGATGCTTTATCCTTGGTCATATTTATCCTCACAAGAGCCCTCCAACGTGGCACTCTGATCGTGCCGGCTTTACAGAGGAGAAAACTGAGAAGGAAGGAAGGGGACTGCCCCAGGTGATGGAACAGATATACAGCCGAGACGGGATCTAGGCCAAGGAAAGAAGGCTTGTGCTGTGGGCTAAGCCAGCACAACTCGCCTTCCCTGTGAGGGGAGGGCAGGCGCATACTTCCTTGTTGTGAATAGTTTACAAAGTGGCTATGCCCGGTGCAGGCAAACAAGACCTGCCTCTTCCCAACAGACTGGGCAGGGTATTACTACATGTAATACATTTAGGAGCAATTAGAAGTTTTCTTCTCAAGGGAAATCTACCAGAAATGCACTCTGAACTATCTGCTATCTCCAGGATTGTGGATATAAAACCAGTGTTTTGGTCACCCCATACACCGGCCCTTCAGGGTGCTTGGTCAAAGCTAGTTCTGAATTTGCATATCTGGGTGAGCCATCAAAAGTTCAAAGCCAGTTTCACAATCTGCATGTCTGAGAGTCATTAACATTTCAAACAGAGTCTTGGCCACCCCAGTTTACCCATTAGCACCTCCAAGTGTTTACCTAAGGAATCCCTTTCCTTGAAGACAAAGATATTAGAATGTATTTAATTTTCTTCAGATTTTGAACCAAAGATGTGAATTCTTTAAGCTTAAAATGTGATTCCAATGAGAAGGCCCTAGAAAATGTGTCTGGTCCTACAGGTCATTTGAAGAAACAGCCAAAATTACTTTGGCTTCTGTATTTAACAGATACCTATATTACAGTATGTGCCTGACACTGTTCTGAACACTTTAGAAATATTAACACATTTCATCTTCATACCAGCCCTTTGACAGAAGTGCTGTTGTCATCATTCCCATTCTGTAAATGAAGTAACTGAGGTACAGAGAAGTTAAACAACTTGCCCAAGGCCCAAGTTGGTAAATAGTGACGTGAGAGTCAAAGGGGAGCAATGAGACTCCAGCATCCAAGCTCCCAACCTTCAGGCTATGCTGACTCTGTAAATAACAGCCAATGAGACAGCTGGCGAAGTATAAATCTGCATGTGATGCATTATGGTCATAAACACATACATGTAATAATTTGGATGAATTGTTCAGGATGTTAATTTTACTTTATGCATCTGATGAAAGAGAATTTATAGCACACAATATCAGTGCACTGATAGCAAGGAGAGCTGTTATGAGTGAGGATTCACCATACGCACTATTAGGGGTTTAACATACCCTGTATTTCCTTGTAAGATGTGAAGACTCTGAGGCTCAGACAGGCAATTAATTTCTCTAATGTGGTGCGGCTTGCTCCCAGCAGAACTGGGATGAGGACCCAGACCTATACAACTCTGGCTGGCAAAATCTATGATTCATGTGTGGGTCTACTGTACCTCAAAGACCAACTGTTTCCCCTTAGGGAATGGATGTGGAAATATGGCAGTAACATGGCAGGAGTGGGGATCCCTCCATTTGTCTCCAAACTCCATCTACCCCCTACTCCTGCCAAGGTCTTGCTCCATCTGTTCTCCCTCTCTCAGCTCCTGCTGCACGGTGCACAGACATGCTCAAAGGCTCTTCCTTTCCAAGACAAAAAAAACAAACAAACCCCAAAAAACAACAAAAAAAACCTTTCCAAAAATGTGATATGTTTCTTACTTTGGAGGCAGGGAAGGATAAAAATAATAATAATAAATTGAAGAAGGAAGAGACTTTCAGCTTGCAGGAAGTTTCTTTTCTCTGGTTATAATGTCAATTCCTCTCACCTAATTAACAGTAAGATAAAGGCTTGTTTCTTTCTAACCATTGTGAAATGAGACCAATCTCTGGCATGAGATTTAATCTCAAAGGACTACTGTTGGGTCCGTATTTCTGGTATCATGGCCACTAGAAAGTGCTGCTGTAGCTGCTGCTTCACTCTAACTGCCTGAAATGCAGACTAGGTACCCAGAAGCCTACGTAAATTGAACTGTCATAACACAACGGTAAGCACAGCTTCTAAAAATGGGCAGAATTTCAATGACAATTATTTGTGCATCTGTGACTATGTTAGTAAAAAGAAGGATAATTCTGAGATTGTTTCACAGAATCTGGGAGAGACCGGCCATCTTCTATTACAAATAAGGAGTACCCAGTTCTTTCCTTATAACCATTACGGCAAATTAGCACCCCATTACCCAGATATGGAAGCCAGAAAGGTCCAATACCATGAGTTCATATTCGTCTCTTGAGGTCCTACACAGGATATACTAGAGCCAGGATTCCTAACCATCTGTGGCTATGTCCAAAGCTTTTGTTCTTTTCATAACATTCTAGACTTCATTCTTTTGTGTGGCATTTTTTCTGGTCCCACACTGACATCCTTCCCTTTCACTTTCAAAGCTAAGCTCAAATAACAACTCTCTATAATGAGGTCCCTGGTTCACAGCAGAATGAGAAAATCAAGGAGAGTGTAGTATTGGTAAAGGAAAATAATTTCCATGCAAATGACTGTTGTTTACTCTAAGATTGTATCAGTCCTACATTAGGGGTGTTAATAAAATAGTGGAATTTAGGTCTTACAAAGTTCTTTTTTCCTTTTTGAAGAATGTGAATATCCAGCACAGGATCTGGTATAGTAAGTGCTCATTAAAACACCCACCAAGGTTTGTCTGGTACAGGCCAGTCTAGCTCCTCCCTGCTCTACTCCGTGTGGCTTGGTCCAGTCCAGGGCACCAGTACTGGTGTTCCCCACTGGGGCTTTGGGACATACTTCTCAGCTAGAAAACAGGTCTGCCTTGGGATGATTCTGCTTTTGCGATCCCTTCTGGGGGATGGGGCAGAGTGGCCTTGGAGGGAAAGGGTTCCAGAATCCTGGGTCCAGCCGTCTCTTGATCCTTTTCAACCATTCAAGCTAGTTCACACCAGGCGTTGGGGTAAGGCGTTTCCCACCCACCTCCACAGTACCTCCAGGCACTCAGTGCCAGGCAACTGCAAGGAAGGGGGCACAATAAAGCCTAGAAGTTTTGAGTGAACTTGTAGTGTTGTGGGCTGAACTGCGTTCCCCACCCCTAGTCACTTGTCAAAGTCCTAATTCCCAATACTGCAGAATGTGACTATATTTGGAGAAAGGGTCTTTAAAGAGGTAACAAAGCTCATATGAGGTATTGGGATGGACCCTAATCCAATATGACCAGTGTCTTTATAAGAAAGGGAGTTTGGACACAGACACACACACAGGGGAGACCATGTGAAGACACAGAGGGGAACACGGCCACCTATAAACCAGGAAGAGAAGCCTCAGAAGAAATTAATCCTGCTGGTACCTTGATCTTGGACTTTTAGTCTCCAAATTTGTGATAAAAATCAACACATTTCTGTTAGTTAAGCCACCTAGCCTGTGGTATTCGTTATAGCAGCGCCACCCAACTAGTGCCTTTAAGAGGCAGAAAGGTCCTCTCAGGAACGTGACTGAGACAGTAATACTAAGGCTTAGAAAACAGGATTTTAAGTGTTCAGGCAAGGAAATTAGGTGACTGGTAGGACAGCAGCTCTGGGAGAGGAAGAGCTGGAGGTGTGAGGCTGGCGATGGCCTGTCACCGAAGTCCCACCCTCACGAGGGAATGGGAAAAGGCTGAGTGCAGCCCTGGTGGTAGGAGCAGTTCCATGACAGACATCAGGAGAAGCCGGGCTGGCCATGGGTGAGTCATCTACCACGCAACCACAGGAAAGACCTCGATAAAAGGCAGCCCCTGTCACAGACTTACAACCCAAACCAAACATTTATTGAGGCAACAAGAGCCAAAGCCACCTTTCCTGCGAGACTAGCCCCTCAGACCTCAGAAGCCTCCGGAAGCAAAACCGTCGCAGCGTGGTAGCAAGCTACCAAGACGTGGGACCCGGAGGTGCTGCTGTGGCTTCCAGCAGAATGAGTGTGTCAGACAGAAGACATTTAGTGTGAATGGAAATAGAAAGGAACCAGTTGGCAATTAGAGTGTCTCCTGTTCCCTTCGTCACAGTCATCTAGTCAAGAATTCCATTTCTTGCTTTTTTTCTAAAACCTTCTGACAAGAATTCTCTCGATGAAAGAACACAAGAATGAAAGCTATTATCAAGAGCTGTCTGACTTCATAAGCAACACCAACATTTTTTCCCCATGTGAACTCCTGGCTTGGGGGTTTGTACAGTTTGTCATGTGTACGGGGCATCGATGTTACACCCCTGGGGGATGGTGCCCTCCCTCTGAGCTACGGGCTAACTAACATCAGCTGAAATTCATTTCTGCCTGGGAAGACATCCAGAGCGATTCACAAATTGTTATGGAAACAGGTAAAAAAGAACAACTTTAATGAAAAGGCAGCAAGAAAAGTGCAGAGAGTGTGAACAGTCCTAGCAAGAAAGGTCTAAAATATCTTTTTTAAAGTAAAACACACACACACATACACACACACACACACACACACACAAAATGATTACATAAGCATATACCAACACACATGTGCTCATACATATCTAAGACAATTTCATGTGAACGTGATAGCACTACTGCACTATGGTAAGTCAACCAGCAAGAAGGAAGCCAGAGTTCCACACCCTGCAGCACCCATCAGCTACTGAAAACATGAAAATATTCTGGCTGGAGCTGTCCTGCCTCATCCATGTTGAGAAGACAGCCAAGGAAGTCGTGTTTCCCATCCCAAACTTCTCGCTCCCTGAGAACAAGGACTGTGTCTTTGTCACTCCTTTGGGCTTCTCATCACTCCATCGCATCAAACCCAGCACAACGCTGAGTGCTGGGGAACTCAGTGGTCTAAGGGTCACTTTCCAACCCATGCAATGAAAGACAAATACATGAGAGAAAATGCTCTTTGGAAACCACCCTCTCTTAAACCTGTTGTTCACTTTGTTTCTCTCTGTCCATTCCTTGCCCAAAAGGCCAAAAGAGAGAAGCAAAAGTCTGTGCTCTCTGCTCCCACTTCCTTCCTACCACTTCCTCCTGACACCTTTCTCCACCTCCCAAACAAAACAACACTTCTCAGTGGTTCTTTCCTTTCCAGAGGTCTATCTTTTTCCAGAGATCTATCCAGGATCCATCTCAGAAGGCAAGAAGCATGACACACCTGTGATTCATTCCCCTTAGCAAGAGATCTGAATTTTTGGCTCTGGACCTTAAAAGCCAGGAGGTGGGGGAAGAGTCCAAGCCAATTTAAAAATAAAAACTTTCCACAAGAAGGGAAAGAAGCATGAAAAAGCTGCAGTGGGGGAGAAACGCCATCCACAGAATTTAAAACTACAGCATATCCCCCTACAAGTTCATTTTCTAGGTTTCCATGTAATATTCTAAACTAGTCTTTCTAGGGAGCGTCAAAATCTTGGCAAATGTGCCATAATTCCTGGGATACATTGTGTGGTTTGGTGGCAGATGAGATGAAAAGAGAAAGGAGCAGAGGAGAAAAATGATCGGAGAACCCAACCGGAAACAGCGCCTTCCAAATGCACACAGGTCATGGCACCGTGAGGGAACAACGGTACAACCAAACTGCCGGGGCTACAACCAACTCACCAGGGTTTGGAAACCTCATGGGCTCCTCTGAAGTCAGAGCTGATCATGTCACCATCATGGAACTGCTAAATCATGTGACTTTTGTGTCTGTGCTCAGAACAAAGTTCCAAAAGACTGTGCCCATTAAACTGCTTGAAGAATGTTTTCCAACAGGTGCCCTATTGGCATTAGGGGCAGGGCAGTACTTTACTACAAAGGACTGTTCTGCTCAATGCAGGATATTTAACACACCTAGAATCTGGTTACTAGAGGCTAGTGGCACATCCCAGTCATAGTGACAATCTAAAACAACCATGAACATTTCCCAGCACCACTTGGTAAAAGATTCAGAGGGTGACTTCCTCGTGAGAACTAGCTTTTGAGCTTTCTGTGAAATTGCAGTTCAAGCTGTCTTCAACAACAACAAAAAAATGTGATGGGAAATAGATCAACTGCTATTCTCAACTGCAATGTTTCGAGCCTAAGACGGTAGCGGTTGCACAGGCAAAGAAGCCCTAATGGAAGCTGCGTAATGCCTGGCTCCCACCCCAGCATCTGACCTGCAGGCTGGCCTCAGCTCAGTCATCCTGTCTGCAGGGGTGGCTTCAGCTCTGGCCTCCCCTGTGCCTGAAAGTGCTGGCGCTGGACAAATTCTCAGCAGTGTTTGGGAACCCCTTACCTGTGACAGACTCACCCCCTGGGCTGCCACTTTGTGACAGGAGATGCTCTTCTGCCCCTTCCTTGCTATCGGGAAGAAAGAAAAGCAGAGAATTTCATGGTGGCACAGGACTCTAAGAGATCACTTGTAACTGGGAGACGTGACACACAGGGAAGTTAGGCAGTTTGCCTGTAGTCATACAGCAAAAACAACCAGAAAAGGTTATATACATGAAGTGCTGTAGCACAGGTCAGTACTCAGTAATTGTTACCCGTTAGAATAATCATTCTAACATCCCAGGAAGTCCAGCGATTGCTTTATGTGGAATTTCCCTGGAAGGCAGGAGGTCCATCTTTTAGATTCCTGCTTAATACTCTCAAGTCAAGGCCAGGTCCACGTGGGTTCTGTCAAAGTCCAAGAGGAAGACTATGAAATGAAATCGCAATTCTTGTTCACCAGCCCAGAATCCCTTCCTGCTGGTGTGATGGAGGCCCACTGTTGGGGAGGCTACCTGCTTCCACATTCCATGCATATAGTAAAACACTGAGTGCCAGAAGGGGAAAGGAAAGGAAGCAGCAGAAAATGAAGACTGCCTAATTTATGAGCTTTCTAGAGAGGATGTCAATCAAACCCAGAGTTGGGCAGGGAAGTCAAAATTCTTCCCTGTTGCCCAGGACACATGGCCAAAGGTAAACCTGATACTGAATGTGACAAGAAGTCAAGAGTAGGAAGGAAGGCCTAATGTCTAGGACGCTCTCACAGAGAAGTGGCAGGTGTAGTACTGGAGACATGACAGTTGTGACCATTCCTTCACTGCTGATCCTCAGCACAGATGCCTCCTCTCCCCGCTCCATTTCTCACGTCATCACCCACCTCCTCCTACCCGACTCTCCTCTGTGAAATAGGAAAGCTAATCTAGAACTCTTACTTCAAAAGCATTAAGTAGTTCAACATTTTCAAAAGCACCCCTAGGAACTAGTCCTGCCCTTAAGGAGTGAGTGTTCCAAAAGGCGAGAGAAGGGACAGGCAAACCCATCCACCTCTGCACAGTGAATGCCAGATGAAAAGTGTAATCCTGTCCCTCAGGCCTGTTCCTTGGGACACTAGTTCCAAAAGATACACTGCCTAGAAAAAGGGTTCCAGGACCATATGATTTAATAGTTTTGGGAAATGCTGTTACTCTCACCCACTGTAAATGACTTACAGTACGTATTAATGTGCTAAAGGCATTAAGATGTCTTTTAGTAAAAACCCCATTGATGCTGATTAAAAACCCAATGATTATCAAACTTACTTGACTACTAAAACCTATTAACGTCCTGTGGCGATAATACTCTATTGAATGTAATTTTCTGAACTCCAACTGGAGTGATCAGGAAAAGGTTTCAGGATGGGGGAAATATTTTGAATGAGCCCAGAAGATGGGTAGGATTTTATGACTTCCATATGGAGGCAGGATATGAATCTACTAATTCACCACACACCCACTAAGAACTTCCTACAAGCAAGGCCAACCCTCTGTGCCATGGTGGACAGGCCCTGGTCTGAGGCAGAGTGCAGGGCACTGGCTCTGCCTTGAGAAAGAGCATCTTGTATTTGGGGAATAGCAAGCACACAGCTAAGGTAAAGCAGGTGTGAAAAAGACATAAAAGAATAAGGGTGGAGCCAAACAGTATAGACTCAAATACCCAAAGCAAAAGGAGCTATCAGAACAGGTGTTTACCGGGTCACCAATTCCGAATTAATAGCACTGCCTTTGACAATGATATTCATTTCTTCCCACCATGGCTAGTGGAAAAGCCCGGGCAAGACCTTCCCTTCTCTGGGCCTCAGTTTTCTCATCTACAAAATGACCAGACTGGCTAATTTCTCTAAGGCTCTTTGAAGCATCAACATCTGAGATAGGACACAACAGCACTTAGGGAGAGAAAGGCTGTGGGGACCGGAGAAGAGCAATTAGTTTGGACACATGTCCAAACTAAAAAGTGCGCAGGAGAAAAATGAAGCCAGCTCCATCTTAGGATCTTAGGCTATCACAGGATTATGCTTCTCAAGCTAGAAGAATGTGGTATACTTTTCAACAGTTAATTTTGCTCAAAAAATTGAGGAGAACAAATTTAATTTTTTTTGCTAAATCTGGGACATATTTTAGACTAGAATATAATATTCCCAATGTATTCTACAGACTTTTTAAAATGAGGACTTAATGAAGTATCTGCCATGTACTGCCTTGTTGTCTTACGGCTCTGGAATTTGTGGGGATGTTCATTCATACCTGGAGGGAAAGTTTGACTGGGGAGCCCGGGGCCCTTGCTTTTTAAGTTGTAGAGATAGAATCCTAGTTTTCCTTAAATAGAGCTATACTAGAGAGACTGGGACTCACCATTAGACTGGTCATCCCCGTAGTTCTTATGGGATGGTGCATACAAGAACATCAAAGCAAAGACATATAGGTTCCACATCCCATAGATGCCTGTGAAAAAGGCACTGTTCACTTGGACTGTGACGCCGCCCCACTTCCAGTGGCCTTCAGTCACCTATGGAAAAAAGACAGCGACACTGAATTAGAGCCAAGAAGAAACACAGCACCAACACAGGAACCAACCAACACAAAAACCAAGCCTCTTCTACATGTGGGAACAGTGAAGGGTCAGGGTAAGAGTCCATTTTTTAATCTGAATCACACTAGTAAGAAAAAAATTAATTACAGGGTTACTCTATGTGTCAGGCATGAAGTCTACTTCTCATGTGGGCTGCACACCAAAATCACCTGGGGAGTGTCCTTCCTAAAACAACAGTTCATCGTTACCCCTACTTTAAAGAAACCATATTGGAGTCTAACACTTATCCACACATAGAACGCCTCCTCTGTTATCTGTCTTTTCATCTGGCTATAAACTCCCACGGAGAGACCCTCTCTGATTCGTTTACTGCCGTATCTTCAGTGCCTGATGTACCACAGGGGCTCAATGAAGACAAATGAATCCTTAGAGCGAGTCCTTAGTGGGGCAATGTGGGGAAGCAGAATGGCACAGGCTTCCAGAAGTCAGAGATCCGGAATCAAATCCAGCCTCCACCGCTTGGTTTAATGTAGGAGAAGACTGAGACTCTGAACCTTAGTTTCCTTAAGCACAAAAGAAGAACTTGCAGGGTTATTGAGGAGAATTAAGTTAAAATATTTCTAGAAATTTCCTGGCATGCAGTAAACACTCAATAAATCTTTTTTTTTTATATCATGTCACTCTGTGTAAGTCACTCACAAAAGTACTTAAGAGCTTTTGGGAGCTTTACAATTCTGCAAGAATGTTTTGAGGCTGCTTTTGTCTATATGCTAATGACTTGGTAATTGTTTTAAGAGCTGTCTGAAGACATGTGGATTACACTAAGAACTGTCAACAGAACTGTTGAGGTGAATGACTAGTGATTTGTGCCAGCTCTGGGAAGAATGAAGTGATTTTGACCACTTCTGCTTGCTACATGAATTCTTAATGTGGGAATAAAAGAAAGTGTTGGACAGATGTTCCTGTGATAGCTTAATGAGGTGGGGTGATGTCAGCCATCCTGAGGAGCCCCTTCTTCTAGGAGCTGAAGTGTAAGATGGCACACTATATATATAAATATTAATGACTAACAGGTTGATTTCACCTCCTGATTCCCAGGCAGTAGGTCTATATTCATTTGGTACCCTCTTTATAACCCATAATCCCCTGGGGCCCCAGGCATAGCTCAGCTGGTTCTTTCGGAAAGACCCGGAGTACCAGTTAACCAGATTAACTGACTGTAGACTTATCAGTTTTAATTTGACATTGTGTGGAGACATATAATTTTTTTCATTTTTGTGATTCATAAACAAACCACCACCGTGAACTCTTATTTATTTTGGGAAATAATTCACCTCATATGACATGCTCACAAACATTTTGGCAAAGAAAGATTTCAAAACCATTACTGATTTTAGAATAATGAACCAGAATTCAAGCTACTTAGGGTTTACTTAGAAATGTCTCCAAATGTCACTCTTAAGTACAGAACAGCCTAACTTTATAACAATCACAGTACTTAGAGAATACTTAAGATAGTTTTTTAAATCCATATAATGGAAAGGGAGAGGGAGCCTCGGTTCCTGGAAATATATGCACCTGCTGTCTTTACAGAGAGAACACATCTGTCTGACTAAGGAGGAGCAGCTAGGCTGGGAGAAGTATAGGAAAAATGGAATAAGACAGTTCTTATTTTTTTTCTACTCTATTAAGATTGTTGGCCTGTAAGAAACCCCGCTTCCTATGACATACACTGTAAATACTCAGGATTTACAATTTTGCTGGAATTGATCCTTGTCGGGAGTGTCATGACTGATCTAAGGAAACACCCACTTGCATGCCAGGTACACAATGGTGCTCAAGAGACAGATATTTGCTGAATGAATATAAGAAAAGTATAGGGATGTGCAGGGAGGCCAGTGAAAATACATGGAGGCAGAAAGTGGGGCTAGAAATAGTCATGCTTAGGCAGTATTTGATTCCTAAGGCAAGAGAAAATATTCAGCCCATAACAAATCACAATAATTGCACTTAAAAGTAAGAGGTCAATAGGTAATAAGTGTTATTTCATTTACATATATCTATTTACTTTATTCTTTTATAATCATTCAAAACAATAAGTTAACAGGTATTAGCAAAGCTAAGATTTTTAAAAATAATAACAAGGATAATAATAGTTAACACTTTCCAATGTTAGTGGTTTGTCAGGCACTACACTAAACAATTTACAGGGGAGGTATCATTTAGTTTCAATAACAAATCTATGAGGTAGGTAGGTAATAGTTCCACTCAACACATGGGTAAACTATGACACATAGAGGTACAGTGTGTTGCCCAAACTGCTCAGCCAGGAAGTCATGGCTCTTGACCCCAAAAGAAGGTTTACTTAACCATTACCCAACAATAAGAATATTATCTTAAAAAGGGGTGAGTCTCCTAAATTAAATTATAAGGCAAATATTGTGTAAGGTCAACTTTCTTTTGAAAATTCACTTAACTGACCATAATGCACATTGTTTATATAGTATATATACACACTGGTTTGTTTATTCAAATCTGTATAGTAATATATATGCACTGTACAACTTAGATATAAAGCATAGTATGTAATAAATGGGGTATATATGCAAAACACAATTTCACAGTAGTACCGCTTAAATGCGATGCTCGTACTCTGTGAGGCGGCACACAGGAGACGGAGGAAATAGCATTTTCATGCCCACCTCGTATGTCTGCTTTGAGGCATATGCATGTCATTTAGATAAACTTGAAGAATTACCCATACTACTTAATTTGTAAACTCTAAATGTATTGTTTTCCTGTGAGGGCAAAGAGTTTGATTTTGCATAAATAAATAAACTATACAGTGTCGCTCTGCTGTTTGGAGACACAATTGTGTTTTCCCCTCTCATCTCTCAATTATTCATGCCTGATCCATCCTGAGCTCTAAGCGCATTCCCACTGATATGTCCACAATAAGCAGCCTCAACAGAGCGGGCCTTGTAAGTCCAAAAATCTCATTAATGCCAAGGCAGAGAGGTGATGGCCACCCCGTTTTAACTTTCAGAGAAAAAAAATCAGGTAACCCCAACCAAAAGAAAAAGAAAATCATCTTTCTTCTGTATCCGTCTTATTTCTCAAAGTTTCTGTTTTTCCTGGTTTAACATTTGAACAATTTACTTTTGTGTGAAACCACCCAATTATACCCCTGGAGCCAAGTGAAGGTCAAATCCTTTTACACCCAGTAGTCTTGACAACCAACATTCCACTTAACAACAAGATTTCTCAATCCCAGACACAGGCTCTCTTACTGGAAACATTTCCTCTGTAAGTAACAGAATGAAGTGGTCACACAAACAAAAAAAGAGCTGGGGACAGGCTCTGGGTGTTTGCTGCTTATGGCTTGACCTGAATGTCAGGCACCTGGAGGCCCCCTTGGTGAAGGTTGGTGACCTTCTACCCTGCATTACACTTGTGTTCCCTACTGCTTGTCACCTCTAAATGGAACACCTCTTTCTCTTCCAGAGGGAAGGGGCTAAAATACCAGACTGTGATGTGCCACCGCTTGGTTGCTAGGACTGAGACCATTAAAATTGCAGGCATTAAAAGACTGCACCTCAGTACCCAGCTACAAAGCCTCAAGGTCACTGCATTCCACAGCTTCCGTCAGCCCGTCTTTCATTCCTGGCCTCAGAGCTTCAATATCCTGGCGAGATCCCCTCGCATTATATTTCATGGGGCTTAAATGCAAGCTCTCCCAGCAAGCCCGGGAGCATAATGGAAGTTTTAATACATTCCTTTTACCTAAGGCTGGGATCTATTTCAAAAAGTTACCCAATAGGTTTTCTTTCAGGTGAGCTCATTGCTGAGACATTTCAAAATGACATTAAAAAATAAATCCTCTGATGACTATATTAATACAGTACCTGGGACACTGAGAGTTATGCCTGAAAACGTCTTATATCTATAAATAAACCTTAAAAAATAACCCAGCAGGAGGAATATGAGGAGCTAATGGAATCCAAAAGACCTCACCGCTACCCTCTTCGAGTTGAAATCCGCTCTGGGCCAACTGTCACAGCAGATATAAAAAGCCAGCCACAGGCTGGAGCTATGTTAGAAAATACTGGGGCAATGGAATATTAATCTTTTTCTCAAAAGCAAAGCCACAAACTCTGTTCCTTGGGAGACTGACCTCCTTTGCTTTCAAAAGGTACACGGATGAAACCTGTACAAGGTTAAACTCGGACAACATACAACCGCCTTAGACCGCAGCCAAATGTCCCTTCTTGACTTCAGATAGCAGGGACGCTGCAGGGACAAGGGAGCCAGTGGGATGGGGCTGTGGGAAAAAGACTTCAGCTCTCGAAAGTGGCAGAAATATGTGTTAGGACCAAAGGTGTCCTTCCTGAGAACATATCGTGGTGTGGCCTTTTATTCCCCAGCCCGCCTTACTTGAGGCAGCGTTTCTCTGAGCGGTGCGCCCTGCTCCCTCGGCCTGGCAGGGCCAGCTGTGCTAAGCACATTACCGAAGGGCTGCAGGACTGCAAAGCATTTTGGTCACACGAGGGAACCAGCCAAAGGGTAAGTCAGGCCTCCCACCCCACACAACTTGTTTGAGCCTCAGCTGGTTGAATAAAAAACTCATTCAGAATTTGAAATATTTTTACTGCATTTGGAGTGGTGAATGAAGTGCTCCCAGGTTTTATAAACAAACAGTCTGATACAAACACAGCACTGTTGTAGGTCAAAACAGATGTGGTGAACAGAACTTATGAAGATACATATGCATATATTTCTTATTTTTTTCCATAGTCACTCCAACCTTCAGGAGCAACACTAGCAATGTCCAGTGGGCATAGCCAACAGAACTCTGGGGACTCCTAACTTACATTACAGGCACTCTTGGGTGTCCTGAAGGAATCTAAGGGGTCTGTGAACTGGAATGAGAAAAAAATTATATCTTTATTTTCACCAGTCTCTAACTGAAAGTTACTGTTTCTTTCAATTATGGATATAGAAAACAAACCCTCATAATATTAGCACTACCTGTAATTTCTTACCAGTAGAAATCATATTTTGAAATTTTTTAGTTGTACATATGTATAATTGCAAATGTATGTCATCCATCTATCTATCTATCTATATCTGATTCACTTTGAAGTCCAAGGCTTCTGTTTTTGTTTTATTTCACTCATTTAAATACATTCAAAGAAGTGGCCCATCGCCTTCACCAGGGGTACCAAGGAGTTCATGACACAAAACTTAGAAGCTCCTGTAATGGAAGGAAATTTGCTACTAGAATGGGCAAGTCTTCTCCTCAGGCTCTGTGAGCACTACTAACATTTTCAATTTTGGCCAAATACAGGGATGACAGAGCAGTTGGTTAAAAAAAAAAAAAAAAAAAAAGCCAAAAGGACTGGGTACTGGTTGTTAACTTATTCTATGTCCTTTGGCACACCATTCATGCTTTTTGCTATTCCTAAGGGCACACCTACTTATGCTCACAACGTGCCAGGCACAGTGCACAGCACTTTGCAAGCTTGACTTCATGTGATCCATACAGCCACCTTTTACAGTGGTACTATTATTATACTCACTTTACAGATAAGAAAATTAAGCCTTAGAACTGTTAAGTAATCCATCCAAAGTCCCACCCAGCTAGAAGACAGCATTAAGTGGGAAATGTCTCTAAGGTCACTAGATTTCACATTCTAGCAAACTGGGATAACAACTCGTACCCACAGGGTGTCTGTGAAGCTCAAATAAACAATAGGTATATAATACATTAGATGTAAGTAGTACTTTCCAAAACAAGTCCAGTATTTTAAAATCGTTAGCATTGTTAAGATTTTCAAGGACAGAAAAATGTTGAGTTTTGGAAATAACCAGCAGGAAGATAAAGTTCTATCAGGGGGACTTTTCAGTTTCATTTCATGTTTAAGTGGCAATATAATTATTACGAAGAATGGCTGATGAACTGTAAAAGGATCTATGTTAATGCCAGATAAGGATCGAATCAAATTAATGCTTGTTGGTGTTCTGCTACAGGGCTTGAAAAGTTCATTCTCTCAAGTAAATGAAACAAGTGCTCTTCAATATGGCTGCAGGCTTTTAATTTACTTTTCCTCCCATGAGGCGGCACTGAAAGGGAAAATTCAGTGCACCTCTGGCCAGACGATAAAAAGACCCAGATTGAAGTCTAAAAACATGGCTTGATCAGCTGTGCAGCATGATAACCTTCCCTGCTCCTTTCTCAGTAGCTCTATAGAATTTTCCGTGCAGAGTAGAAGCACCTCTCCAGGGACATTCTCACCCTGACCTCTCAGGGTCCTCTTACCTGACTAACAATAAAGAAGATGACAGTCATGGCAGCGCAGGCCAAGGTGATGAGCATGAGGAACTTGAACCTGAAAATTAGCCCCTATTAGGAAAGAGAGAAAGAGTAGTTTAACATTCCACCAGCTACCGTCAATCCTTATCTCAATATATAACTCTATAAAAAGCTAATTTTAAAGAAATCTATAAAACCAAGTCCCTAAGAGTGATGGTAAAAATAATTTCACATAGTAACATTTCTCCTGCAGAGGTGAATGTGGCTGAAAAATGCATTGGGCCAAATATTTCCTATGTTTTTATCTCTCATGAAACAGTAATACCAGAGCCTGGGAAATTATATTCACAGCATGTTATGAGGCTGCTAATTTCTCTGCTAAGCTGGTTACGCTCCTCCGCAAGGGTTCAAAGTTACCAAATTCAGGTTTTCTGCAGTTGAAATAAAATTCTGCTCCAGTGAACAAAGAGAAATATGCATATTAATCAACATGACGTGGATCTGATTGAATTTTTTCATGTGTCACTCTAGTTCTAGAGACAGGCAGACCTTGAGAACGTGCCCAGGGTTTCCGAGAGCAGGACTGAAGGGCACACTTGTTTGGGGCGGGGAGGAGGGACGCCTCCTACTGCAGAGCCACTGAATACAGAAACCCTGCGGTTCTGCTGTTCCTGTCTCTCTTTTCACAGAGGAATTGGGCCCCTGTCTCTAAGGACTGCCACTTTGGCATGAGCTGGAAGGGATCCTTGAGGAATTGAGAATGTGTTGTCTGCATTAGAGATTTGAGGATGTTGAGTGTGTTTCTTGAATAAGGCACATGATCTCTAAACTTAGATTACTGAACTATATCTGAGCACCTGCTAGATTATTTCAGGGGAACTGTGGCTTCCTGGAGTCTGGAAATCCAATGATCTGGGCTGAATCCCAGTCTTAAGGCTGATTCTCAGCAAGGGAACTTTAAGTAATGCCTTTCCCCAAGCCAAATCCCAATTCTACCATCCTCAAATCTCCCATCTAGTATGCATCTACATTCCATCCCAAAGCTGAAGAACCTGCTGGACAAGTTTACTCCTCACTGGGGACTGAAAGGCACTTATACCACAAAAAACTCCAAGATTTAGAGAGCCCAGCTAGATGCTTCTCAGAGTAGGATTTAGCCTCTTATTTTGCCCAGCAATCCTGTATTACATGGAAATCTCTCATTGTGTATGTGTATTTGAAATAAAGGCTTCCGATCTCCAGGTATAGGGTGTGTGCGTGTGTGTGTGCGTGTGTGTGCGTGTGTGTGTGTGTGTTTACACATCAAGCAGGAGATATTGAGTACCATTTCCTAAATGAGCCAAGAGATTTGCTTACTTCATAGTGCAGCCGCCGGACTTTGCTCATGGCTGGCAGGCTGGACTGCTTCCCACTGATGTTCCGAAATACCTGAAATACCATGAAGCACAGAAACAGGAAATACAGACAGAGACAGATCCCAGCCACAATGATGAAGGCCATCTGATGGTGTCAGTAAAGGAAATGGCACGGTAGCCAAGGTCACAGGCACTTTTCCCAGCTCTGGTGGCAATACCATTTGTCTCCAAATATTTAAGCAATTTTCAAGGGGGTAAAATACTAAAACCTGGTTCTAATGCTAGTGATAGAGGTTTTCTGACACAAAAGTATCACAGAGAGGAATGTTCTAAATTGCCTCCTAAGGCAAATAAGAGAAATGGAGCTTTGCTTATGAAAAATGCAAACTCTAGGGCCTACCCTAGACCTTCTGAATCAGAATCTGCCTTTTAGCAAGGTCCTCCGGAGGTTTATATGCACAAAAAATTTGAAAAGCACTAAAATATTCAGGATCAGTTGCAAAGTACTGATCAGGTGGACAGCTGCATTAAAATCACAGGGCAGTTAAAAAACAGGTGGCTCAGGTCTCTCGCTGCAGGTATATGGAATCAGATTTTCCAAGGGATAGAACACTAAGTACAACCATGCCTGGGAACCACTGGGCTAGTCCCTGGAGTTTTATAAGAAGATTGAGATACCCTGGAATCAGAGGGAAATGGAGTGGGGCTGGGTACAGTGGCTGCTAAGGGCGGCTGGCCATGGGACGGAATGTCTTGAAGTAAAACCAGGCATGAGGTTCTGTTTACAATCTTCCGTCCACCACAAAAACAACCTTGTCAAATGGAACAGGGAGCAGAACATAAGGACAACGTGGGAGCTGAAGGGGTGGCAATGTACTTTGAGACCAAGCAGGGCAACTCTAAGATCTATCTTTAAAGTTCAGTTTGAGAACCTCTAAGGCTTGGGGTGAGTAAGGCTTGGGAGACTGGTTCAGCTCCTTTCTGCTACCACTCTATCCCAAGCTGCATATTTTTAAATATTTTAACAAGTGTGAACTCCACATGTATATTTCATTAAATATATTAAACATATTTAATGACGGTTTTCCTTCTTTCCTAAAATCAATAGTACTATGAAATGAAGGGAACACAGTTATTTGCTGCAGGACTTGTAATTTTATTTGCCTCCCTGAATTTCCATCATACCAGTAGAACAAAAGGGTTGGAGTAGACTAACACTGCATATATTCCCTGTTTGGTTTTTGATGGGGGGAAGGAGTGACGAAGGGGTTGGGAGAGCTCAGCTCTCTCATCTTCAAGATAATACAACTGATTTAGTTTGCTCCCAAACTTCTCGTTTTAATAAGAGACCAATATAAACATCATGGCTGGACAAAGCATATTACCAGCACATGACAAGATATTATCCATTAGGAAAGAATGCAGCCCAGGCCTTTCTCCCCACTCCAGAGAAGAGGCTTTTTCTTCCAAAGGTTTTAACATATATTATTCAGGAAGATAATGTATTTAAATCCAGCATCCTAAAAGGGATAAGCTAAGACTGTCACTTCTGCTTCATGAAGATGACTCAGACAGTGTATGCCAACCAACCAGAAGCCTCAACGATGTGTCTGGAACTAATCACCTTAGCCTCATCACCACTTGGTCTCAGAAATGAATAGCAGCAGCATAGTATGACAGCACACCAAGGTCACTGTAAGAAGTCTCACACACAGACGACTTCACAAACAGGCTCTCCCACAAGGAGCCCAGATATGTGCCTCCATGGCTCCAGGGAAAAGCTAGTCAAGCTTCGGTCTGCAGTAAACTAGTGTATAAAAGATAATTCAGACGGGGTACAATAAGACCAGCAACTCTTGATTGTTCCCGCCGTAGGGACGTGCTGCGATCTCCTTATTCTGCCTGCTCTCACCCGAGCTTGAAAGCAAGCATTAATTCCTCTCATTATTTGCCTTAATTACGCCATTATCATTGGTCTAAGGATCAAAGCTTTGGCTAGCCCATACAGAGAACATCATTAGAAAATGATCTTGGGGATCTGGAGGCTGTAAGAAGAATTAAAACCCTGAGCCCATCCAGGAAGGATACAGCCAGCTCTGTTCCAACATCTGTAGTCCAGATACTGTAGAAGGGATTCGTGAGTTGTACCCCTCTACAAAGAGAAATAAGACAGAAAAGCAAGACACAATTAATACAAAGGCCAAGGGTAACTTTCTTTTTTACATGTTCTTAGCTCTTCAATTGAGGGGTGGGGGCTGTGTTTAGACTAAGAAAAGTCACAGAGGTCTTAAAGAGAAAAGGAGTTTGCATCTCCTTTTGCATCTTTGCAAATAGTTTTGCATCTTTGACTTAATCCCAATCCTTATCTGAGGATGTGACCGTGTCCAACCCTTTTAGTCCACAGGCTCCCAACCACCCTTCTTCCTTCCAGATATTCCTCCTGAAGAGCTGGCAGTGGACATGGTGATGCACATTTCAGCCCAAAGTCCCATAGGCATCCCCTCACCTCTCACACATGTCAAATATGAAGAGGCAGAAAGAGCCAACAGCGATTGGTCCAACTTGCTTCCAATACCCTGCTATGTGATTCCGCTCATGCTGATCCTGATGAAAGCCAAGTTGAGAAATGAGATAAAGAGGAGGAGAGCAAAGCAATTCTGTAGGTGAGTCAGTCATTGCAACAGTCCTTGCTGACAACGTGCTGTGTATCAAGCATCACGCTCGACTCTAGGCATATGAGAAAGACCAAAATCTGTCTCATAGTAGTAACAATAGGATGCTACGGGAACATAAAGAAAAGCTTCATAGTTTAAATCATTCAGAATTAAATTCCTATGTGACTTATCCCTTGTTTGTTAAGGTGGGGTGGTCCCCAGAGGACAAAGTAAAGACTCTAAAAGGCATTAAAATACGTCAAGTGTAAGAGGTCTCATGGTTAGGAAAATAAATACATGTTTTCCCTATCTTTACTAAAAACAAGAATGGTTTCTCTTGTTGCATATACAAAGACATTAAAAGAGAATATAAAGGAATGCAAAATGAGAAAATGGAGGAAGGCAAAAGACATTATCTTAAAATCCAGGCTGTGACCCAGGTGGGATGGTCCACACCAATTCACCCTGGGCAATCCACCTGGCAGCCTGTCCTTCTTCTGTACCCAAGTCCTCTCCACTTCCTGCTGCTGAGGGCCTATTCTCAGTGTGTCACTGCTGGAGGGCCCTCATGCTTACCCTGGCAGTAGGCAAGAGCCTTTCTCTCTTCTCACTGTTCTCCTGGAAGGGCTGCAAAGCTTCAGAAGCAACAACTGAGCCATAATGAAATTTACGAACAACCCACTTAACTAGGAAGCCCATGCACCTGACATGGGGGCCCAGCTCCAGCTGGCACATCATTTTAGCCACAGCGAGATGACGGCACCATTCTTATTTTTATCCACGGTACCTTCAATCCCTCTTGAAATATGATTTGGTGTCTGTGCAAACTGATCAGGGAGGTCAGTATTTCAGGCCAATAGGGGTTACTAGGCCACCTGGACAGATTGCCAGCTGGAAAGAACTGGGCCCACACTCTCCAGTGGTTACTTTGGTCCTGTGACAAGCACAGTAGAGGTCAAAGGAATAATCATCATCATCATCATTAATATTTATGTGTTTACTTTCTTTCTGCTAAGTATGTTACATTTAAATCTCACAAAAACCCTTTATCTTATAGATGAGGAAATTGAGATTCAGAGTGATTAAGTCACTTGCCTAGGACCCCTCAGCTAACAAGTGGTGAAGCAGAAATTTGAACCGAGTGCCTGACTACGGAGCTTACTCCTGTAGCACTAATTTATTCTGCCTCATGCACTGTCCCTTCCCCAGGGGCTCTTCCTCTTACCATCATGTGCTCCCCACAGAAGATGATCCAGAAGGAGAGAAGCATTGCGTAGAAGATGCCTTGTCGAATATCACCAAACAGTAGCATCCAGGTCCAGTCGAACCCAATGGAAAACCATTCAACTGGGATATTGATAAAAGTCATGGAAATTCCAAGGGCAAAGATGACTCTGATGGCAAGAAAATATCAGGAAAATGACTTTATCCATTTGGGAAGCAGATCTTCAAAAATCAGAAGCCAGTTTGGGGAAGTGAGATGTTGGTTACTGGGACTGATGCGGTATGATCGGTTTCTGAGCTCTCAGAATGAGTTTCTACACAGAGATGCAACATGTCCTATATTTTGCTGGGACCGCTGTAGAATGAAGGAGTGTTATCTTGACTTTTCTCGCTAATCAAACCAAACCTCCTTAATCCCTGGAACTTTATTTTGGTATTAGCTCAGGTTAAACACTTCCTACAATGTTTTTACCCTCCTTTGCTTTCTTAATGAGACCTCATTGAATATAATTATCTTTTGTTACCTATCCAGGTTATCATTAACTTGATCAATAAGAACATTCATTATTATTATGCTATCCTCAGCAACTATGAATTATATAAGCATATTCATTTCAATAATAAATGACTCTGAACAATATGAAATACAAATTCTTTTAGCAGCTTGTTCAGTTTTTATTTTACTTTTCCCCGTCACATAATTAACTGCCACTTCTCTATCAAAATGTCATTCATTTAGTCACTGATTTATTCCCACTTTGATTTATACCAATGAAGTACATATGTCTATTAAACACAGATTATATACCAGGCACTTTATTAGGGCTATAGATACCTAAATAAATAGGACTAGTTCTTGCACTTGCGGAGATATATTTAGTGCCTAGCCAGAGAGAGAGACAGAGTGTGATAAGTGATATGACAGAAGTGTGCACACGCTGCTACAGGGGCGTCTAACTTTGACAGAGACAGAAATTGAGCTGAGTTGAGAGTCATGGTTAGGGAGGTAGAAGGGCATTTCAAGCAGAGGGAAGTGTCTGGATGGGCCACAGAAGCCTAGAACAGCCTTTGGGGGTCTTCATGTAGCACACGATACCAGAGAAGTGAAAAGGGCTTAACTCATGAGCAAACCTGAATACATCATTAGAGAATTTGAAAGAGCTGAGGACCCAATAAAAAAGTTTCATCAATGGAGTGACATGGTTCATTCATTAATTTGTTCAACAAATTCACGTTCATTGAGTTCCTGCTATGTGCAGGTCACTATTCTGGACACTCGGGGTATAGTAGCAAACAAAATAGACAAAAGTCCTGCTGTAGTGATACCTGCATTCAGATGGGGTGAGAGGAGGGATAATGGAGGAAAGATAATAAATAAAGAAGAATGAGTATTATAAAGAAAAAAAAGCAAGGTAGGAGAATGGAGAGAGGTGCTGTTTTACATATGGTAGACAGGGAAAGTCTTTAAGATAAGAGATATGAGCATAGGGCCTGAAGGAAAGTAGGAACTGAGCCACAGACATATCTGGGTAAGAGCAGTTCAGATAACGGGAACAGCAAGTGCAAATGCCCTGAGGCGAGAGCATGAAAGGCATGTTTGAGCAGCAAGAGGATGGTGGGTGCTAAAGAGGACAGGAGATGAAATCAGAGGGAGTCCACAGCATCTAGGGCAAAGGAGATGCAAAGACAACAGAGAGCTTTGAGCAGAGGAGTGACACAATCTAATTTTACCTAAAAGGGAACAATCTGGTTGCAGTGTAAATACATTATAGGGAGGAAAATGGTGGAAGCAGAGAGCGCAGTTGAGAGGCTATTTCCAATAAACCAGATGAGAAATAATGGTGATAGCAATGGTTAGATTAGGGTGGCAGCAATGAAAATGGTGAGATTTCGGTGGGTTGGATGAGAAGTCTGAAAAAGTAGAAAGGATGACTCCAACGTGTCTAGCCTGAGCAAGGGGACAGGATGGAACTTCCTAAGTCCCATTTCCTAAGACGTGACTGTCCAGGAGAGGAGCAAGTTTGAAATGGGAGGACATCAGGTGTTCCTTACACATGTTGCATTTTTGTGCAAGTGAAGATATTGAACAAACAGCTGGTCTAGAGTTGGGAGAGGCTGAGGTTGATGATTATAAATTAAGAGTCATCATTTAGATGATTTTTAAAACTGTGAGGTTAGATGAGCTCACTCAAGGAATAAAAAAACACTAATAAAAAAGTTCCAAAGACTGAGCCCTGGCTCCAAAGTTTAAGAGGTTGGAAAGTTGGTTGGAAACAGCAATGGAGACTGAGTGATGGTTGGCAAAAGACACAAATAACCACAAGAGGGGTGGAGGAGGTGCTGAGAAAAAGGAGAGTGATCAATCATGTCAGATGCTGAGGAGGAGTCAAGAAAACTGAGTACTCAAAAGTGACAACTGGATTTGGAATGTGAGGATCACCGGTGATCCTGTCAAGAGCTTCATGGGGTGAGTTCGGGGGTGAAATGGGCTTGAGAAAACAGGAGGAAAACATATGCAGAAAAAGTTTTCTAAGGGGTTTTTCCGTAAAAAACAAAGAGCAGAAAAATGGCATGATGGCTTCAGGGGGAATAGGAAAAAAAGGTTTTGTTTAAGAATGGGAGAAGGTAGAGGGTATTTGTACATTAATGGGAAGAATTCAGCAAAAAGGGAAAAGTCAGTAATATGGGAAAGAAAGGGGATAAATATAGCTATAGGAGCATGATGCTTCTGGTTGTGCTGTTAGGAGAGAGGCAGTTAACCCACTACACAGAGGGAAGTGTCTGATTCAGACCACAGGAATGTGTAGCAATAAAGACAGAATAAAGAGCCAAAAGAAATAGAACCTATAGAATTTAATAAAAATTTGCATGTGAAAGCTGGAGGGAAAAAAAATGTCCAAAATAACTCCTGGTCAGATTACTAGCCCAAGTAACACACTGACCGCTTGAACTAGACCCTGCAAAATCAGAAGCATGGCAGGCAAATCATGCGATGCTGTGTTCCTTCAGAATGCTCCAAAATCAGCTCTTACTTCTCTAGAAGCACTGGGGGTCGGGACATCATGGTGATCCTCCTCCAATACCACACCATAATGATGAAGATGCTGGGTGTGAGGAAGGTCTTCATAGCAAACCACACCTTGGTGAAGCCTCCATTTTGGTGGATTCCCTAGAGAGAGGCCGACATAATTTTGAAGGAGAATATATCTTAATGTTATCTTCTACCAGCAAACGCATTTTGGAGAGAGGTAAGGGGAGATCTTGTCTGCTGAACTGTCAAGATCAAGAGCTTTCACATTTGTAGCATGTACTGTCCTCAGACTCTCCCTGGCCCCATCTCAGGAATCATAGAGATATAAATCAAAGGGTACAAAAATGGACCCACTATATAGTAAGGGAATGATCAAGAATATGATCAAAGATTTTTCTGTAAGGCCTTCATTGAAAAATTGGAGATCTCTTAAATGCCCCAAGTTGAGATTGGTAAAATGTGTTAAGGGAAATCTTCACAGTTCAATGAATGTTAAACAGTATCGCAAAGTGTGAGTGGGTAAATTCATTCACTATATATATGGAATATTCATAATATACCATTAAAATATTCACAAGTACCATTAAACCTAAAAAGCAAGGAACAAAAGTGTCAGTTGAGTATGATCCCAATTTTTTTATGTGAGGGATTATATATGTACATATGTATAGAAAGCATCTGGAATCAAAACCTCAATAGTGGTTACTTCTAAATGGTAAGATATTACAGGTAATTTTTATGTTCTATGTGTTTACTTGTGCTTTCTAGTTTTCTACACTAAATATATATTTCTTGTGTGATTATTTTTAGATTAAAAAAATGGTCTCCTGACTCCATGTTCTAATCTTCCCCATTAAACAAAATAAATAGAAAGAACCTAAAATACAACTGTTCCCTTTAATATTGGTGCAAGTTGAAATATTTAGAAAAAATTGCTTTTATCTTGGTATAATTCATTATGCAATCATGATCATTACCACATCTTAAATGGACATAATATTTGCATTATTTTGCATTTCAGTAACCTCTCGCACAAATTTATGATCTCAGCCATCATGGGTATGTATTATTATTCTTATGTCAGATGAGACAACCGAGACACCGAGATGTGTAGAGTGACATGCTAGTTCCCTTCTGATACACGTGCTCAGTAACCAGTGTTCTTAGCCAGTATTCCAGTATCGCAGGCTGTATGGGTCATTCAGATTCACTCACCACCAACCGAATATCTTTTATCTCCCCAATCCCAACATTGATTTTCTTCTTCTCATTCACAGGCAGCCGGATGTTTAGAAGGTAGTACTTATGAGCCACAGACCCGATTTCCATGAAAGGAAGGACATCACATTCATAGTAACGGCCCTCATGCTCTGGGGTCTGGAAGAAGAAGAGAGGTCTTGAGGCAGGCTTTCTATTTCCAACAGACTGTCTGAACTGTCTGTTCTACCTTCGCTTCTTATTACCAATTCCAAAAAAGCTAATGCTTAAAGGTATACCTTGGAGGTACAGATAATAGGGCACCCTGGAGGCATGGTATCCACTAATTGCCCTTTTCATCTTCAAAAAACAAAAACCAAACAAACAAAAAACCACTAGCCACATTTGAGCCAGAATCTAAAATGTTAGGTAAAAAGCATAACACTTTTCTGACTCTCTTTCCTCAGCATTTTAACCCTCATTGGAAGCTAATATCGGAGTAACCTGGTCCACCAGGAAGGATGGTAGGCTTTTTATATGCAGCCTCATTGAAGACCTGCAGGGTTCTGTGAAAGAAATAGTCAACTTCTTAAATGTTCAGAAGGAAGCCCTTGCTGATGTTCATCATAGTCTTAGATAATGGATAATTACTTCCATGGTTTTGGCCAGCAGGAGAAGCTGCAAGATGAAAATGTCTATTTTTATTTATTTGATAGAAAAAGAAGCAACTCCAGGAGCCCTTGATATTTCAGGGAGACAGAAAGGGATAAAAGGTAACAATGGGACTGGTTTGTTAGAGATACCCACTTGGAATTTTCTATCTCCAAAGCTGAACTAGCCCAAGAGGCAAGATGGCAGAAGGAGCAACAATTTTAATTAAACAAAAATTAAGCCCAGTTTCTAATAAGAGCCTCTTGGACTCCCTGCCAAACAATTGAAGAAGCGCTGCCCAGAGTGTGGCAGTGGGAGATTGGAGAGCAGGGACACAGGTTATTTTGAAAGCTAAATCCTGCTCTCCCTCCCCAGGGCTTCTGGCCTTGTGTCCCTGCCAAGGGGCAGGGGTAGTGGGGTAAATGCAGGCATGTAGAGGCATGAGCTTTAGCAGCCAGGGACTTTTCCCTGATAAAAGAGATGAGTGTCTGCCATCAATGTTGGGTTTATATGCCATTTTCAATGTTTGCTGATCAAGTGACAGGAAAGACCTAATTTGTTGTTCCGAAGTTTAAATTCTCAGGACCTCTATAATTAATTTTTTGTTTATCTTCAGAGTGGAAAGTGTAGCGGAGAAATCAGAAGGAAGATAGTACGGACTCTATAATCTAACTAGTATATGAAGAGTCTTCTGCCCCTTCTGTGACCTTGGGGAGTTCTTTATTGGAGGGTCAGAGCTTAAAGTGTCATAAACAGACCTTCGTATAGAGACAAAAGACACACATGACAAAGTAGAGGTAGTGCAGGCAAATATCTGGCTTAGGCACTTCCACTTTTCTCTTCCCTACTCACAGCAGACATCACTAATCAATCCTGATAGTTTTTCATCCTCTAAGCAGGAGTGTCCAACCTGTGACCGGTGGGCAGCAGGCAACCCAGGATGGCTGTGAATGCGGCCCAACACAAAATCGTAAATTTACTTAAAACATTATGAGATTTTTTGTGTGTGTTTACATGTCGCAATATCTTTAATGTGTGGTCCAAGACAACTCTTCTTCCAGCATGGCCCAGAGATGCCAAAAGGTTGGACATCCCTGAAAGTTTTGAAGGACTCTTATCAGAACTACCAGTTGATTAGACTTGGCTTTTGGAATTTAAAAATTCTTCTGTAGAAAGAGTCCTGCTTCTTTCCCAAACTTCAGCTGCAGGCTGTATAGGTTGTTTTTCTCTCCCTGCTGCTCCTTTCTCTCTCCCATACTTACATCTCAGGGCTAGCATTAGGCCTCTGCAGGAACAGCAAAAATACACCTCAAATCTGCCTCAGATTAAGCTGCACTGAGAAGGCTGAGTACCCTCTGTTGTAACACCAAGAGGAGGGTTTTCTGATATGGTTTCCTGTCAGGGTCTTGTTTTATTTCTAGAAACTGAGACTTTGAGGGGGAAGGAAACAAAAGTCTATTTAGTGTAATGCCACTGACTTCATTATGCAATTTGCCCCTGGTCCCAAAAGTAACAGTACTGTGTTGAGGGCATAGGTCTTCTCAGTCCAGCCTCCAGCTCAGTGGGGAGGAGGTCAGTGTGGACAGCGGACAGCGGGCAGAAAGGAATGACACTGCCTCAGGCGTGCCTGAAGGAGGCTTTGTGCTGTGATAAGGAGGGCAATGAACTCTAAGCCAGGAGACTTAGATTCTAGCTGATTCTAGCGGTGACCTTGCTCCTTGCTGACTACCTTGTGAAGGTCATCTATCTCATTTGGCCTCACTTTCCTCATAAGTAAAACAAGAAGATAAAATAAGATAATCTCCAGGGTTACTTCTAGTTCCCCATTAGGGGTCTCTAGGTGTCCTCCACGTCCCTGTCCCTACAGAGAGGCTAATGCTACCAACCCATGAGGCAAATTTATCTAAGTTTAAGAAATTAGACACACTGGCTCCTGGGAGCCTGGCCTGGCCCACCTGTCTCAAAGACAAATTCACTGTATCCTGCTGGGGACTCTTCCTTATGCACTGAAGTTCTGCCTCTGCCAGGATGTAGGGCATTTAGAAAGAAAGACACACCCCCTGCTCTCTTTGCTTTCTCCCATCCCCCTCAGTCCTCCCCCAACTCCAGCATGAGACTGACTAATTAGGACAAATTACAGCAGGTGGCAACTTGACTTTTTTATTTTTTTAAACTTTCCAATCCACTAGGGACTAAAAAGCTTTAAAGCAATTTCTCATTTAATCTTCAGGCTCAAGACTAAATTTCACTGCAATCAAAAGGCACAGATTTGATGATTCATTTCCTTCACACTTTTCAAGGTTTAATATCTTTCTTGAAAGGGATCAACACATCCTAAAGATAATTAAGCAACCAACATTAAGGCTTCTTAATGACTTCCCCTCACTCTGCTTCTCAGTGCCCTCCAAGTGTGTAAGTAAGGTGAGAAATACTTTTCCCTTTTCTGAGGATGAAATTCCATATCCCAAAGCTTTATATCCTTTAGCTTAGATAGCCAACCAATCTTCCTGCTGAAAGATGCAATCAACTTGCAGCAACCGCTAGAAAGGTTTTAATTAATTTTCTCCGTTGCACACAAAGATCTGAAAATGTCAGATATTCCTGTCTCCTGCTCCTTCCAGTTTCTCTCTACCATTCATTTTTGCCCACTGATTGCCCCCTAAGGGCCTACCCAAACAATTCCAGCTGGCTTTTTTGTTGGGGCGGGGGTGCTATCACTGGCACTCAGCAAAGAGTCTAGGGCATTGGCTCTCAAATTTTATCAAGCTTAAGAAAAAGAATCAAAATCCTGTTAAAACACAGATTTCTTGCTCTTACACCCTGAAATTTTGATCCACTAGGTTTTGGGTATAACCTGGGAATCTGCATTTCCTACGAGCTTGCAGGCAATGCTAAAGCTGTTGGTTCTCAGATCTTACTTCTTGTCACTCTAATCTAGGGAACCTGGGAAGAGAGAGACTTAACAAATGCCAGGTGCCTCAATCGGTGCATAATGCCCATGAGAGGGACTCCTGATTAACAGCCCCTTTCATTCTTAAACATATCCCAGACTGCATGTTAAATGATAAGGTCATCCTGCTTATGTTCACTATCTCATCTTGTCCTTATAAAGTGTCTATAGAAGGTTTCATTATCCTATTTTGCAGAAGAGAAACTGGACCTCAGACAGTTTGCCTGAGGTCATGCAAGACAGTAAGTTATACAACCTGCAAGACAAGTATGTTTTGCTCCAAATCTACACTTTTAACTAATGTGAGTGAATACCTTGAACCTGCCCCAAATTGCTCCTCTTCAGGGTAGGTGGGACGGGGCAGGGACATGGTACTCAGAAGCTTCAACCTGCCGTTCTTACCATTCATTCTGCAGGGAACCCCAACTTTAGTTATAGGCAAAAGCAAAGTTGAGAAAAGCCAAGCTAAGAGAGGAGAGAAACTAAATCAAACAATGGGGTGGGTACTACAAAGCTGTCCAAATCCTTCAGGAGCAATTGATCTGGAGATGTCATGTGACAAAACAACATACTCAAGAATGTACTTCTATAGGGCCTGGCTCTCACACACTTGACACAGAGAAAAATGGGGCCATTTCTGTACCTGAAGAGCCATCTGAGATCACCTACCACTAATGATGTGCCACGTCTGCATGCTTTAGGAATGTGAGTAACTATGAGCAATATTAACTCTGGCTCCGTTTCACCTTCACAGAGACTTTCAAGAGATTTTCAAGGCCAGCCTGGGGTCAGAATGTCAGGGAGGCATGCACGAGAGCAGCACTTGCCTTTTGTAAAGGACCTCCAGCTAATTCTGATTTGGTTCTTAAACCATCAAATCCCACTATTCTCAAAAGTCACTGAGTCAATTCCTGAATTTTTATTTATGAGGAATCTGAGGCCTTTGCCCCCAAAGAAAATATCTCCCTATTTTCAATGCAGGATAGTAATCTCCCTTCCATGGGTCGTGGAATGAGTCCTCCTGGAAGAACTGGGGAAGGGAGAGTCTTAAAGATGGGCTAGAAGACTGAGGCCTCAAATAAAAGTAGATTTCCTCCTTCATGTCTTCTTTTTGTCGTGGACATTGGGATTTTTTATTTTCATACTTGCACATTAACTTTGGTAGCAAAGAGATGCCTAAGAAACAGAGAAGTAGACACAGCATTAATCCAGTATCAACAGATTATTACACCTCAAAATAACTTAGCCATGGTCTCTAGTCATGGTCAGCTATTAACCAAAGAATGAAGAATTTATTTTTATGTAAGTATTTCAGAGAAACAATTAAATCACTTCAGATAGACATTCCTTCTAGTCTTTCCTCACTTGCAGGGATGTGAAATATCTACTGGCCCTTTTCTCTACTAAGAGAAAGGACAGTGTGGCTCATGCATGCTAAGAAATAAGGAACATTTCTGTTAATGGTAAAGCAAATCTCCTCACATACCTGGAAATCAAATAAAAACTCCAGCAATTTAGATATCAAGGAATCCTACCTTGGGGGACGTGAAGGTACATTTGAGTTTCCGGGGCACTTTCTCATGGGCCATTTCAGTCCATTCAGCAGACGTGTCATCACGGTAAGCCAGGGAAACATCCATGGAAACTTCTGCGTTTTCTCCTGCATGAGAAGGACTCACAATTTAGAAATGGCTTTGGAAACAGTTCAGAAATTCTTAGACTCTTCCACAAGAACCAACAAGACAAAATAAATATATTAGTGCCTATCAAGCTCCAAATCTGAAGACTTAAAAGTCATAGGACGAATGGCTGGATGCTGGGCCCCCTTTTACAACCACTGTGCAGAGATGGGGTCCTCACTCTCTCGGAGGCAGCTGGGATGGTCATATTCTGACTTATTCAGCACTTAATCCTCCTATACTCACCCTACTGGTCCTAAGTCTGCCCAAAGGAGTCACATAGAAGGTTAAGATCTGTCTTCCACAAAAGTGCCTTAGGACCCTGGCTGGGTAGCTCAGTTGGTTAGAGTGTTGTCCTCATACACCAAGGTTGTGGGTTCAATCTCTGGTCAGGGAATATATGTGCAACCAGGAACTGCATAGATAAGTGGAAAAACAAATTGATGTTTCTCTCTCTATATATCTCTCTATTCCTCTTTCTCTCTAAAATCAATAAATAACTTTTTAAAAAGTGCCTTAGGTATTGAAAGCCATACCTCATCTGCCTGTATTTTCTCTCCTCTCTGAGAAACATGACCAGGTTTCTCAACACCCCCTGACACAAGATTTAAGTATCTTTGGTGCTTTCTTCAGGGCATACTCTAGTCTGAAAGAACGCTTCTTAAAATTATCCCCAATAAGTTCTCAAATATAAGATCTGCTACTTCTCTAGAATGTAAAACCCCTTCTTTGCATTCTGGAAAAGGTTATCTAAAAGATGAAGGTTTTTTTCCCAAAATTAATGACTTCTGATTAATGAGAACATAATTGTACAAATAAATGCTCACATATTCTTTCATATCAGTAAGGACCATGAATAAGTTTAACTCACCACAGAACTCATTAAGTTTAGATTAATAAAAATTGCATCTATTCATTTGCCTGTTTTATATTACGTTGAGCAAGCTCAAGAAGAGAGGGGTTCTAATGGAGAATTAAAGAAAGCACAGACCACATTTCTGAAATGATTGGAGAGCCAGCTCCCACTTGGGGACATGAGACTGCACTCAGTTTTAGGCTCCAGAACCTGAACACACACAAGTCACAAGGGGAAGCAGATAAGAATAACTGCTCTTTGGAAAATTAGGGTTTTTCTACCACTGGCCCAGTGTGGCTTGAGATCTATTTGACAATGTCCTAAATCCCTGCTTCTCTGAGGAAATCAAGGAAGGGAAAGAAAGGATGCATGCCACAGAAGGTGTCTGAGGCCGTTCAGGTGCAGATGAACTCTGTGAACACTGGAGTCTGCTACGTTATTAGTATTTAAACCTTAGTAAAGCATGGTGACTTGTGTTTTCCTCCTCTTTCTCATGAAATTAAAAAAAAAAAAAAAAAGACAGAAAAGGAAACCAAAGGCTATTAAATCAGAAGGGAAAAAACTGTAGATAAATGAGCAGGTCAGAGATTTCAACAAGTTTCTCAAGGATGAAAAATAGATAAAGTAGGGTTTCCTAACAACCATAGAGACAGACACAGCATGAACTCCCACAGAAGGGATATTCTGGGAGAGTGAATCAACATGTCCAACAGGCCACCCAAGCCACTCTGAATTCGAAAGCACCAGATATTGCAGAGGATAGAGGTGAGGCCTGGCACTGACATCAGGGTGACTGGGCTGAAGTCTGTACACAGAATTGTTGGACCCCCAGTTCTCCTACACAGCCTGTACCACAGTCTGAGGGGAGACTCTCGACTTAAGGAAACCAGGCAATGCAGAGACCCAGGGCTGAAAATGGTCAGAGTCTGTACGAAACTGTGGGATGCCCAGCTGGGCAGAAGCAACACTTAAAATTCGCTCATCCTCTAGGTTAGGGGCCAGAATGGCTACAACTGCTCCTCACTGGGCAGCCTTGTGGTTAATAGAAAGAACTGGCCAGAGCTTCAGTACTAGGCATCAAAATAAATATATATATATAATTTCCTTTTATTTATCACACTGGGATTAGGAATTGGGGCTTTTAATTCTGTTGAAAGGGTACTTCCAGAACTATGCAGCTCAAGAATACAAGTCTGAAAAGCTGTAATAGAAGTTATCAGTTCCCACACTGGGCTCCTGGGAGCACTAAGGTTCAGAGCAGTTCTGCCTGAGCCACAGGTAGGAGGGGCTGCTAATGTGAGACACACACTTTTATTCTTTTTTAATTTTTCAAATACATTTTATTGATTATGCTATTATACTTGTCGCAATTTTTACCTCTCTGCCCACCTCCACCCAGTACCCTCCATTCTGCCTGGCAATTTCCCCTACGGTTCATGTCCATGGGTCATGCACATAAGTTCTTTGGCTACTCCATTTCCTATACTGCACTTTACATGCCCCCGTCTATTCTCTAACTGCCTATTTGTACTTTTAATCTCTGCACGTTTCCTCCCATTCTCCCCTTTCTCCCTCCCATCTGATAACCCTCCAAATGATCTAACTATGATTTTGTTCCTGTTCTGCTTGTTTGCTTAATTTGTTTTTTAGATTCAATTGTTGATAGTTGTGAATTTATTGCCATTTTAAAGTTTGTAGTTTTGATCATCTTTTTCTTAAATAAGTCCTTTAACATTTCATATAGTAATGGCTTGGTGATGATAAACTCCTTTAGTTTTACCTTGTCTTGGAAGCATTTTATCTGCCCTTCAATTCTAAATGATAGCTTTGCTGGATAGAGTAATGTAGGTGGCAGGTCCTTGCTTTTCATCATGTTGAATACTCCTTGCCAGTCCCTTCTAGCCTGCAAAGTTTCTTTTGAGAAATCAGCTGACAGTTTTATGAGAACTCCTTTGCAGGTAACTATCTGTTTTTCTCTTGCTGCTTTTAAGATTCTTTATCTTTAAACTTTGGCATTTTAATTATGATGTGTCTTGGTGTGGTCCTCTTTGTGTCCGTCTTGTTTGGAACTATCTGTGCCTCCTGGACTTGCATGTCTATTTCCTTCACCAAATTAGGGAATTTTTCTTTCATTATTTTTTTCAAGTAAGTGTTCAATTTCTTGCTCTTTCTCTTTTCCTTCCAGCTCCCTTATGATTCAATGTTGGTACATTTGAAGTTGCCCCCGAGGCTCCTTAGCTTATCCTTGTTTTGGGGGAGGTCCTTTTTTCTTCTTGCTGTTCCGATTGAATGTCTTTTTTCTTACTTATGTTCCAAAGCACTGATCTGATTTGTCAGCTTCATCCACTCCACTGTTGGTTCTCTGTACATTTTTCTTTATTTCACTGAGTGTAACTTTAATTTCTGCCTGGGTCTTTTTTATGCTGTTGAAGTCCCCAGTGAGTTTCTTGAGCATCCTAATAACCAGTGTTTTCAACTCAGCATCTGTTAGTTTGCCTATCCCCATTTTATTTAGTTCTTTTTCTGGAGTTTTGTTCTGTTCTTTCATCTGGGCCATATTTCTTTGTCTTCTTATTTTGGCAGCCTCACTGTGTTTGTTTCTGTGTATTAGGTAGAGCTGCTTTAACTACCTGTCTTACTAATGAGGCCTATTGTAGAAAAGCACAAGGGTAAGTTGGATGGGGTGGAGCCTTAGGTCATCGCCAGGGTGGGGCAACCATGTGAACTAGGCTGATGGAGTCTCAGATATGGGTTAGCTGCTCTGTGGCTCTGTGTGGGGGAGGGCTCAGAAAGGGGAAAATGTTGCTGCCTAGCCTCTGGAGTTTTGTCCAGGAGAAAACTGTCCCCTGGCACGTGCCCTGACACCAGACACTTCATTTTCTCCTCATACGCCACTGGTGCTTCTCCAGCTGCTGTCCTGGTGCTCGAGCCCAGAGGGAGGGAGCCTGCCTAAGTCCTAAGACCGTTGCAGACCCTTTAAGAGGAGACTTCTGGGAATCCTGTAGTTTCTTCTACTGCCCCAACCCCCACTGGTTTTTACAGACAGAAATTATGGGGACTTTTCTTCCTGGCACTGGAACCCTGGGCTGAGTTGTCTGATGTGGGGCTGGGATCCCTCACTCTTGAGGTATCCCTCCTGATTTTTATTCACCGCACACGGGCGTGGGACTGACTGACTGTTCTCTGTCACCATGTCTCTGCTCCTCTCTGCATCTCTGCCCCTCCTACCCATCTGAGTGAATGTGGTATTTTTAGTCCCTTGGTTGTCGGACTTCCATACAGCTCATACAAATCTGGGTGATAGTTGTTTTATAGTTTAGTTGCAATTTTTGCTGTGGTTATATGAGGAGGTGAGCCATGGTTACATACACCTTCATTTTGCCAGGAAGTCTAGAATGAGCCCCATACTTTTAAAAGGTCCACCTGTGTCTAGCTCTTTTCCAGATGCTCTCTTCTTAACAGGGTGAGATAACCTTAGTAAAGGGGACATGCCCACCAAGAGCTAATCCACCCCCAAGTTCTAGACCATGCTCTGGGGGTCCCACGTTCATTTGGGACCCCAGAATATCCTACCCAGGTATCGCTGTGCTGACTTCCATGGCCTTGTGGGGAGGGGGGCTCTTCCCCAGATCTTGCCTCCCAAGGGGAACTATACAAATATACGTGTACCCTAGGGTGCAGGCGTGGTCAGAGGCTACTGTTTGTAAAAGGCTATGAACAGAGACTGGGTTTGGAGTTTAGCATACCCACATACAAGTACGCAGGCCCCCCTTCTGACTGGGATGAATCCTGGGGTGGGAACAAATGGCCTCTAGGGACTTATACGCTTTGGTCAGTCACATTTCAGCACAGAATTCGAAGGAGTCCAAGGCTCCTAAATTCAAACCTGGCCTTCCAATCCATTATGAAGGCAGACTTGTTACAGTTAGATGACAGAACTTATTTGTCTTAAAAATATGTTATCACTTTTAAATATTTAGACATATGGCAGCCACAGGTGCTCTTGCCTTGGGCCCTACAAATGTTAGGGATGGGCCTGCTTCAGAGCAGGGGCCTCTGAAAGAGAGAAGCCAGACAGGTTGGCCTCCTGGCCTGCTCCCAGCTTTGCATTATTCCCATCTGTTG